ATCTTTGTTTCATTTTATGTTCAAATATGTTAAATATTGTATTATTTGCAATAACAAAAATTGGAAAATGAAAAACTGATAGAAAATGCACATACAAACAAGTTTATTAAAATGGAAAATGAAAACTTAATTTGTTTTAACCAAATGCAATTTCTACTGAAAATGAAAACTCCACTCCTTTTTCTCAACTTTTACAAGAAAACTGAATACAGTTTTCTACAACCAAACGGACCCTAGTGACTTTAATTCTACAAATTGTTCTAGTTTGAGAAGAGTGAGGTCTCCAGTTATAGCAATTGCCAAATATTACTGATACTCTCTGATCATTAGTAATATCACATTATATTTTTTTGATTAGTTTATCATCAAGGAATTGATTCTTGGTGTTTAGGAATTGATTCCCTGTGTTTAGGCATTAAAAATATATCTATAGATAGTGATCAGAAAAGTTGAAAATTCAGAATCACAGCGTATCTACTAGCCACTACAATGTGAAGCTTCTAATTAGTAGCGAGTTATCTTTAATTTATTTTGATGCAAGAACTTTGTTCTGTGTGAGCTAGATTTGGTGCCTCAATGAAAACCGACTACATGTGGGGTGACTTATTAGTATTTCATATGGAATACATGAATCTCACCTAAGATCTTCAGAAGGGCCTTTGTGGTGGGCCTTATGGTTTATATAAGAAAAGCTTATTAAAGTTCTTGGTAGTTTGATCCAAGAAAAGAGAATTATAAACAAATATATATTATATACAAATAAATACCAATTCAAAGAGGATCAACTGGGCATAATTTTGGAAAGTTCTTGTTGATTTCCCTTTAATAACCATTAGCGTCTTGCTGTTCCAGCAATCTACTTTACTGGAATAGGTAAATTGGACACATCACATATGTATGTACTGTTAGATATCACCTACAAACTTCAAAAGGTTATGATAAAAGGCCTTTCCACATTATGATAAATCTCGTTAGATTATTATATTACATTTCCGAGTGGTTGAATTCTTGAAGTTAGACACGACTCATCTGAATTGAGTTGATTCAAGTTTTTCATAGTGAAATTCCATTGCTACTAATATGGTCTCAACTTTGGGTGCATATATTTGTCATAAGGAAAAAAAGTTGAAAACCAAATAAGTTACATATATATAATATATGGCATGGCTAGACAAAATGCCAGGCTAGTTACTACTTATTCTCCGATTCATGATTATTCTCAATTAAGTATGCCAGAGCTTAACAAAATGCTCTAGCTCTGTTTATGGATGGCTACAACACAATGGTATTAGAGCCATATAGCTCTCTCTTTGATGAGCATAGGGACCAGCTTGCCTTTGAGATGCAGGCTCATAATCTCATTGGCTCCACCAATCAGCTCCTGGCCTATAAAAACCGCTGGGGTACATGGCTTACACCCTAAGGCTTTGAGTTCCCTCTCGATTATTTGACCATCTGGGTGTTCATCAAGCTCATAAACAGTAGGATTTGCCCCGAAGCTGCATATCAGTGTCCTGATGCTGTGGCATATACAGCAAGAACTCTTGCTGAATATAACCACAGCCTTGTTGGTTACCAATCTTTTCACAATGACCATTGTTACTGCTGGATATTTAACACTATGATATGTTTATGGGGATGGAGGTAAGAGGCTTTGCTTTGAGGAACTTAAAATGCCATGGATGCTATATATAGCTAGACTAGAGAACAAAAAAGTAGGGAAAAGGTAGATCAATACATGCAAGTGGTATTTGGTTGTTAATTTTGACACTAATCTTAAACGAAAAGTCACTGGAGCAAGATTACAAATTGATATAATAATATTCCGAAGGTGATCATGACATCCTTTTAAATCATCAATCTTAATATCACTTATTTGATTCTTAGTTATGCTTTTTTTTTTTTTTTTTATTCTTTTTTGTGTAAGAACTTCAGGAATAGTCCTTGACTCCATTGCAAGCCTACTGAGAAGGGTAATATGGTAATTTCATATAGTATATTTATCTTAGAGCATCTGCTATTTGTGGAGAAAGTACCTCCATTAACCAATTGGGGCAACCCTCCATACCATACCAATATGCCTCTCTGCAGCTTAATTCTCCAGACTGAAAGCCTAGGAAAAGCAAATATGTGGAGAAAAGATATATATGCGTATCAGTGGTGATCATAAAAGCATATACTATAGACAATAAAATCAAAGGCATCCGTACAAGTAGAACGGAACTTTTGCATGGGGAGATATTCTTATTTGATTTCTGTATCTTTGAGCGTTTGATCAGAATATTATGCTTATCACTAAGCGATTTTCTACAAACTGTTCTAGTTTTAACATGAAAGCTTATATATCATAGCAGTCAACATTTTATTGGGTAGCCATGGTTGAATAACACTATCCTTTTTAAGAAGTTGTTTAATTGAATTATTGATAGAGATCCCTTGTAAAACCTTTTTCAGCAGGCCTTTAAAATAAAAAAAATCTGAGGTCTATCTTTGTTCTTGACTGATGGCATTCTAATATGCTCACTTTTCTTCTCAATCCTATTCATTTCATCAAATCAGAATCATGTGCATGGATACATCTTTTCATATTATGTTCCGAGGATAATGTATAAAACCGTGCAACAGGGTATTTATGTTTTTTATTTACTGGTATTAGATATCGCCACATATATGCATCGAAAAAGCCAAAAGAAAGGAATAAAAAGATGATTTGAGTTCTGAACTTGGAATCAAATTGTAGAACTGGCCATAGACAAAGCTAAGGGTCACCAACATACATGCTATCTTCCTAGGAAGTTACAAAAATGCATATCAATGAACCTAGACACGAAAAATGCATTTAATCTTTGCCTTGTTCCACTACAAGGATCTAACCCTTTGCAGACGACACCTATCCAGACGACATTTGTCGTCGGCAAAAGTCGATCTATAGAGACGACATGTCGTCTGGACAGAGTTTTCAAACATTGACCATATGTCGTTGACCAGAAAAGCTATACAGACGACAAGTCGTCTGCATAGGCTCGGCGGGAAGGGGAAAAATATTGGCGGTATACCGAATTTCTATACCGACGTCGTCGGGAGGAGGAATTAAAAAAATATTTTCGATTTATTTTAATTCTTTGTCGCAGAAAAGCAATATGATGCCGTTTTGGTCAACCTATGCAGACGACATGTCGTCGCTATAGGGTGCTTAAAAATTAATTTCGATTTATTTTTTATCCGTCTTGCAGAAATGGAATACAATGTCGTTTTGGTCAAGCTATTCAGACGACTTGTCGTTTGGAAAAGGTGGGACCGATCCGCGTGAAAACCCTTTTTTATTCTATTTTATTTTTTAATGACGTGAATTGGAACGACACCGTTTTCGTTTACGTATAGAGACGACATGTCGTCTCTATAGGGTTTCGCTGTAACAAAAACGCTTTCGGTCTTCATTTTCCAGTCGGCTGCCCCTTCCATTTTCCTCTCAAGCTTCGGTGATCCCAGGCATTTTCCGGCATTCGACTTCATCGGCCAGCTAAAAGGTAAGGTTTTGGTCCTTGATTTCTTCTTAATTAGTAAGAGCTTGAGTTTTTATTCCGATTTTGGAGGATTTGTTTCCGGTTTTGGAGCCCTAAAACACTGCCGCCGGCCGGACAAGAACGGTGAACACCGCCATAGAAA